GGGAGTAATGATAAAGGCTTTGGAGGCTTCTTACTTTATTTGCGGTATCTGGGGTACACAGGCAGTGTGTTAAGTGCCCATGGTCCGGGAGGGCCATGCCCAGTGAGGGAGAGAGGAGTAGGACCTGTTGTCTGAGTCTAGGCCGCTGAGTGATGGCGTGAAATATGAACTCAGCTGGCAGACAGCATAGGCTGTCTGTGCAGACAGTACAGGCTGTCTAAAGAGTGAGGGTGTGAGAGTGTGTGCAAGTGTGAGAGTATGAGTGTGAAAGTGAGAGTATGAGAGTGTGTGAGTGAGAGTGTGAGAGTGAGAGAGTGTGAAAGTGAGAGAGTGTGAGAATGTGAGAGTGAGTGAGAGAGTGTGAGAGTGTGAGAGTGAGAGTATCAGTGTGAGAGTGAGAGTACTCACCTAATTGTGGTTGCAGGCATCGAGACTTGGCTCCTGGCCCCGCCTCTTTGTTGAAGACTACTAGGCCCTCTCTCTCCCTGATCCATGAGCTCATCATTCCTCATCTTAAAGCTATGTATGGCTCCTGCCTCCACTACCTCACTTGCTAGACTCTTCCACTTCCTGACTACTCTGTGACTGAAGAAATACTTCCTGACATCCCTTTGACTAATCTGAGAGTGAGAGTATCAGAGAGTGTGAGGGTGTGAGTGTAAGAGTGAGAGTATGAGAGTGTGAGAGTATGAGAGTATGAGAGTATGAGAGTATGAGAGTGTGAGAGTATGAGAGTGTGAGAGTATGAGAGTGTGAGAGTATGAGAGTGTGAGAGTATGAGAGTGTGAGAGTATGAGAGTGAGAGTGTGAGAGTATGAGAGTGTGAGAGTATGAGAGTATGAGAGTGTGAGAGTACGAGAGTATGAGACTGTGAGAGTGAGTGTGTGTGTGAGTGAGTGTGTGATTGTGTGTGTGTGTACTCATTTGTGGTTTCAGGGGATGAGTCATAGCTCTTGGCCCCACTTCACTGATTGGTACTGGGTCCTCTCTCTCCTTGCTCCATGAGCTTTATCATACCTCGTCTTAAAACGATGCATGGTTCCTGCCTCCACTTCATCACTTGCCAGACTCTTCCACTTCCTGACACTCTACAACTGAAGAAATACTTCCTAACATCTCTTTGATTCATCTGAGTCCTCAGCTTCCAATTGTGACCCCTTGTTTCTGTGTCCCATCTCTGGAACATCCTGTCTCTGTCCATCTTGTCAATTCCATGCAGTATTTTGTATGTCTTTATTGTGTGTCCCCTAACCCTCCTGTCCTCCAGTGTCATCAGGATGATTTCCCTTAACCTTTTTTTGAAGGGCATGCCCCTTAGCTCTGTAACTAGTCTTGTTGCTAACCTTTGCACTTTCTCTAATTTCTTGACATGCTTGACCAGGTGTGGGTTCCAAATTGGTGCTGCATATTCCAGTATGGGCCTGATGTACACGGTGTACAAAGTCTTGAATGATTCCTTATTGAGGTATCAGAATGCTATTATGCTGCAGCATAATAGCATTTCAATAATAATAGCATAATAGCCTATATGTTGCAGCAGTTATCTGGTTATGTGCGCCTCAGGAGATGTGCTCTGTATTATATGTACTTACCCCAAGATCCTTTTCCTTGAGTGAGGCTTACAATCTTTGGCTACCTAGCCTGCACTCGGTCTGTGGTCCTCGTTTCCCTTCTTCGATCTTCATGACTGCATTTGGCGGGGTTAAATTCAAGGAGCCAGTTGCTGGACCAGGCTTGCAGGCCCCCCTCCCCCATGTGTGTGTGTGTACTCACCTAATTGTGGCTGCAGGGGTCGAGACTCAGCTCCTGGCCCTGCCTCTTCACCAACCACTACTAGGTCCTCTCTCCCCCTTCTCCATGAACTTTATCATACCTCGTCTTAAAACTATGTATAGTTCCTGCCTCTACTTCATTGCTTGCCAGACTATTCCACTTCCTAACTACTCTATGACTGAAGAAATACTTCCTAACATCCCTTTGACTCATCTGAGTCTTCAGCTTCCAATTGTGACCCCTTGTTTCTGTGTCCCATCTCTGGAACATCCTGTCTCTGTCCACTTTGTCTATTCTACGCAGTATTTTGTATGTCATTATCATGTCTCCCCTGACCCTCCTGTCCTCCAGTGTTGTCACACCGATTTCCCTTAACCTTTCTTCATAGGACATTCCTCTTAGCTCTGGAACTAGCCTTGTTGCAAACCTTTGCACTTTCTCTAATTTCTTGATGTGTTTGAACCAGGTGTGGGTTCCAAACTGGTGCTGCGTACTCCAGTATGAGCCTGACATACACAGTGTATAAAGTCTTGAACGATTACTTACTGAGGTTTCCGGAATGCTATTCTCAGGTTTGCCAAGCGCCCATATGCCACAGCAGTTATCTGGTTAATGTGTGCTTCTGGTGATGTACTCGGTATTATATTCACTCCTAGGTCTTTCTCCTTGAGTGAGGTTTGCAGCCTTTGGCCACCTAGCTTATACTCTGTCTGCAGTCTTCTTTGCCCTCCTCCGATCTTCATGACTTTGCATTTGGCGGGGTTAAATTCTAGGAGCCAGTTTCTGGACCCTTCATCCAGCCTGTCCAGGTCTCTTTGTAGACCTGTCTGGTCTGCATCTGATTTAATTCTCCTCATTAACTTCATGTCATCTGCAAACAGGGACACTTCTGAGTCTATCCCTTCCATCCTGTCGTTCACATATACCAAGAATAGCACTGGTCCCAGAACTGACCCCTGTGGGACCCCGCTCGTCACTGGCGCCCACTGTGATACCTCTTCACGGACCATGACTCGCTGTTGCCTCCCTGTTAGGTATTCGCTGATCCATTGCAGTGCCCTTCCTGTTATACGTGCCTGTTCCTCTAGCTGCTGTACTAATCTCTTGTGAGGAACTGTATCAAAGGCCTTCTTGCAGTCCAAGAAAATGCAATCAACCCACCCCTCCCTCTCATTTCTTACTTCAGTTACCTTGTCATAAAACTCTAGTAGGTTTGTGACACAGGATTTGCCTTCCATGAATCCGTGCTGGCTGTCGTTTATAATCTTGTTCCGCTCTAGGTGCTCCACCACTCTCCTCATGATAATCTTTTCCAAGACTTTGCATAGTGTGTGTGTGTGTGTGTGTGTGTGTGTGTGTGTGTGTGGTGTTGTGTCCCAATGTGGTTGTGGGGTGAGTAGTCTGGTGTCTTATGATCGTACTGGTGTGTTCCCTCTGTGTTGTGAGTTTGTATACCTTTTGTATATGTGTGGTTCTGTCATCTTCATGTGTTGTGTTTCACTTCTGAGTCTATGCTGAGAATGTTTGTTGTGATGTGTGAGTTTAGTTGTTGTGACTTGTTTGTCTATGTCTGTGTCTATCTTGTCCCTTGTCTTTCCTGGTATCTTGTTGCCGTTATCATGTCCTGTTCTGTCTGTGTGTAGTGTGTGTGAGTGTGAGTGTGTGTGATGTGTGTGTGTGTGTGTGAGTGTGTGTGTGTGTGTTGTGTGTGTGTGGTGTGTTGTGTGTGTGTGTGTGTGGTGTGTTGTGTGTGTGTGTGTGTGGTGTGTTGTGTGTGTGTGTGGTGTGAGTGTGTGTGTGTGTGTGTGTGTTTGGGGTTTGTTTGGGGACTCACCTAATTGTGGTTGCAGGGGGTCGAGACTCAGTTCCTGGCCCTGCCTCTTCACTGATGCTACTAGGTCTTCTCCTCTCCTGCTTCCATGAGCTTGTCATTAACCTCTTCTTAAAAACTATGTATGGTTCCTGCCTCCACTACTTCACTTGCTAGGCTATTCCACTTCCTGACGACTCTATGACTGAAGAAATACTTCCTAACGTCCCTGTGACTCGTCTGAGTCTTCAGCTTCCAGTTGTGACCCCTTGTTTCTCTATCCCCTCTCTGGAACATCCTATCTCTGTCCACCTTGTCTATTCCCTGCAGTATCTTGTATGCCGTTATCATGTCTCCCCTGACCCTTCTGTCCTCCAGTGTTGTCAGTGTGTGTGAGATCGTGAGTGTGTGTGAGATCGTGTGTGTGTGTGTGTGAGATCGTGAGTGTGTGTGTGTGTGTGTGTGAGATCGTGAGTGTGTGTGTGGGGTCGTGTGTGTGTGTGATGTCGTGGTGTGTGTGTGTGTGTGTGGTGTGTGTGTGTGGGGTGTGGTGTGTGTGTGTGATCGTGAGTGTGTGTGTGTGTGTGTGTGTGAAATTATGAGTGTGTGTGATTGTGAGTGTACTCACCTAATTGTGGTTGCAGAGGTCGAGACTCAGTTCCTGGCCCTGCCTCTTCACTGAGTGCTACTAGGTCCTTTCTCTCCCTGCTCCATGAGCTTTATTATACCTCATCTTGAAGCTATGTATGGTTCCTGCCTCCACTACCTCACTTGCTAGGTTATTCCACTTCCTGACTACTCTATGACTGAAGAAATACTTTCTAACATCCCTTTGACTCATCTGGGTCTTCATCTTGTGTGTGTGTGTGTGTGTGTGTGTGTGTGTGTGTGTGTGTGTGTGTGTGTGAGTGTGAGTGTGTGTGTGTCTGTGTGAGAGAGAGAGAGAAAGAGAGAAAGAGAATGAGTAAAAACATGCACTAAATACGTATATACAATTACGTAGTATTGTAATACAAATCTTAGTGAAAATTGAACATTTAGTGAAAGACATTAAATTATAATTTAACCTTTAAACCATAACACACTGGAGAAAAGGAAAGTGCAGGTGGCATGGCAGAATTTAAAAAAAAAAATCCATTCTGAAGTGGTTATTTTTTGAGTAGAATAAGACCAAAAAGAAAACTCAAACCAAAATTTCTTGATTATAGACTGTTGAAGTTGGTGGAAAATAACCCTGCAATGGCAACATTATCATGATTCCAGCAAATGTTTTTTTTTTGATGATTGTGTATTTTTCAGATTTATTTGATTGTTTTCAATATCTGAGACTACAACATTTTATAATGGTATTGCTTTATATTGTATTTATTTGCAACTAGTACCAACCTTTCTATATATGAATATTTGTGTATTTCAGCATTATAGCAGTCAACTATGAGGCTCGCAGTTTTGGTGTGAAGCGAGGGATGCGGGGAGATGAAGCTCGCAGCAAATGTGCTGACATACAGTTAGTGCAAGTACCTGTCAACCGAGGAAAGGCTGACCTTACCAAGTTAGTATGGTCTTTCACTGACATCAAGTTAAGAATTGTTGCAGGAAATTCATGTCTGACAAATCTAAGCAAGGGATCTTTCATGACACTATACACAGCATATGTCAGGTCCATATAGGAATATGCATCAGTATGGAACCCACTGGGAAGTAAATTAAAAATATCAGTTCGGAACTAGAATTATCAATATTTTAAGCACAGTAATTTTGATAAGGAACAAAACAGGAATTTAAAATTGGTTTGTTTTTAAAAATATGAGAAATTAGATTATATTTATAAAAATTATATTTATAAGCATTTTTGGTGAGGCATATTTGTATATATTGGGGAAAGAGTACAATGATTATGTACAGTACCATACAAGGATACAAGGGTATTCTTTTTTCAGGTACAGGAATGCTGGGAAGGAGGTGATTGATGTATTGTGTGACTTCAGTGGATGTGTAGAGAGAGCAAGCATAGATGAAGCATATATTGATCTCACTAATGTTATTGAAGGAAAACTGAAGCAGTTAGATGGAAAAAAATTGACACCTGACTTATTGCCATCCACCTGGGTAGTTGGTTATGACATACCCGAGAGTGAGGATAAACAAGGTGAGTTATAAAGTACTGTCCATCTG